CCCCAAAACCCCAAAACCCCAAAACCCCATCAAGATAAAAAATGAAAATTTATTTTTTTTGAAAATTCTAAATAATTAAATAAATTCAAATGGCTTCAAAGAATCCAGAATAGATTTTATTCGTTGATGGCTTTAACTTTTTTGATGAGAATGATTAGGTATATTTCCCCATTAGTCTTTTTTAGTATTTATGTTTTAATGATTTAGGCTAGTGAGATGGAATCATCAGTAAATGAGGAATAATTAGAGGCAGATATTAGAGCAGCTTAAGAACAGGAGTTATAAAGATAGGTAAATAACTAATTCGAATATTTGACTCTTTCAAATAGAGTACTTAATAAGATGCATTAAGGACATAGCAATAAACTTAGTAATCGTAAGAGAATTTATAAGGAAGTGAGGACTATAATCAGCAGCAGAATATGTTTTAAGCTTATGCGAATAATTAAATGCCTAATGCCATGAATAATTACATGCAGGGAGGCGGTTTCAATTAGTTCACTGTTCATAATACCAACATTAATAATATAAACAATAATGGATACAACTAGTTCTACCCAGCACAATAGCAAGTCGGATATAACATTAGCTAAGACTATCAGATTTAGTCGCTATACAATCCTTACCTATAGCAAGCTATTAAATATCCTGATGTAACATCCTAAGGAGTAAAAAATGGCAAAAATAGAGCAGGAGGACTCAAGAAATAATTTATAAAAAGAGGTAACTCTAGACCCTAATCAGCTCAAATGCTCAAACATCTTTCGCATTAAAAAAGTAGTTACTAAAATCTTAATACTATTCCTAATAATCCAATGCAGAATAATTTCTTCAAGTAATAATAAGCTCCAAGAAATATAGGTACTTTTGAAAAGGTAATTATTCCAAATACATTTATTTTTATTTTAATAGGAATAACTCTATGAGGAAGCAGCAGGTTTGAGAATCGAGAGAAATAAGTATTAGAATGAAAATGTGCTACTAAGAACCTAAGTTAAGGCTATTGAAGTAAGAATTTATATGAATTAATACTATCTCAGAAAGAACTATCTCGTAAAGATGCTGTAATAAGATAACTAATGGAGAGGCTAAACTAAGAAAATTACTCATAAGCCTAAATATTACAGCTCTAAAATGCTTAATCAAATACTCATCTAGGCCTCAAGTACAAGCTTAAAATTAAGCAGTTGAAAAATGATTTACTAATGAAGCAAGAGGAGATAATGAATCTTAATCGTACTCTGAAATATACCAAGCTTAAAGAATACGAAGTTGAAATCGAAGAACTTCAAAAAGAAATAGGTAGATTGAATTAGGCTATTTAATTCGAGATAAGTAAACCTAGAATTGATCCTATGGCTTACTAGAAACTAGGAGAAGACTTATAGAGGCAATAAATTATAATAAAGAATACTCTTGATGATTAAAATAAGCTCAATAACATAATCAATGATAAGGATCTAGTAATATAAAAAAGAGATAGAAGAATCAATAAATAAGTTGAGAGAATAAAGTTATTAAGAGAGAAATAGAAACTGCAAATTAAAAAGATAAAGCTCTTGACTAATAAATTGATGGATTGCGAAAAACTCAATTCTGTAATGTTAAGTAAAAATAGCGGGTAGAGAGGAAGAAATGGAAATTTCAATGTAAATGAAAGTGTTAGGACTAAACGAAGTAATAGTGGTGCCAGTCCTAGAGGTGCAAACTCGTCACCAAAGAGATCAATGCTCAATTAAGCAGATTGGTTTGAAAGATATGCAATCGAAAAAACTTAAAAGGAAAAGCTAGAAATCTGGATAAAGAAGAGTAAGTAAATTTTACCTTAACAAAATGCTTAATAGGGGATCCAAATATTGACTTTGATAAAATATACTAGACTGAAATTGAGGATGAGAATTAAAGTAAAGAATTACAAAGCCAAATTACTATAAATTTTGATGATTAGCAAAGAACTATAGAATTTACAGATAATCTTGATCAAATCAGAGCATTTATTATGAATGAATTCAATTTAGAATAGGATAAGCAATTTGTGCTGAAAAATTAAAATGGGGATGTTATAGAGACTCAAGATTAAATGAAAGAACAAGATATGATTGTTGTAGAACTAGTTGAAGTACAAGAAGAAGAATAATATGAGGAAGAGGAATTTGATGAATACGTAGAGAACTTAGTAGACTGTGTCAAATACGAGGATGTGTAATTCACAGTTTTAGAACTGAGGCTTAAACTTTAAATAAAAAAGGTAAAAAGATAAAATGCTTTCAAGTATGTCATGAATTCCTTGAAGGATGAAAAGGGCAAAAGAATAAAAATAGTGTCCCTAAAGCAGCTTTAAAATTAATTTTATCTCCGAATGAAATTCGATAATAATGAGAGTTTGCTCCTAGCTAGATATATTATGGAATAACCAAATCAAAACGGCTAAGTTGCATTTAACATATAAGCATAAGTACCAAGAAGCTATTTGAAAAAGAAATTCGAAGAGATAGTTCCAAACTACATTATCTACAATGGCTTAGCGATATCAAGCATGCTTAACAGAATTACAACTATACTTGATGATTATAAATCTTCAATTGAAGATTATCTTAATGACAAAGACGAGAGTGAGAGTGGTGAAGTCCATCTTAAGACTTTCATTTTATCTCTCAAGGAATCTAATTCTCCTAATCTTGATGATGATATAAAGGACTTATTATTCTATATTTTACTCAGATAAAGCACATCACTTACTAAAATTAACTACTATGCTTTCCTAGAGATATTTGATGAGGATTACTTGATTTAGGCATCACCGCATGAGGACTAAAAAGATTTTGAAGCCTCATCAGAGTCTTCGGAGGATGAAAAGCCCATTAAATCTTAAAATTAAACAAATAGTATAGTTAATTAAGGTTCCAATTCATAAAAGCCTTAGTCGTAAGATATTGAAGTTGACGAAGAGGATTTGATGTTGTCAGTAGATGAAATACTAGGGAAATTAGTCTAGTAGTATAGAGGTTAATAGAAAATCATGAAATAACTGTTTTTAGACATTAGAGAATCACTCAATAATTAGGCAATCGATGGATCAAAGCAAGTATACTACATTATACAAAGTGATTTCTCTTCTTTCATTAGAAATAGACTGAATCTTCCATAAGATACTTAATCCGAGAAGCAAATATAATGCTTGATGCATATATTAATCAGAGAGGAGCTTTAAGGGGTTATACTTTATGATGAGTTTAAGGCTCTAGTCAGTAACTACATTAAGAAAGAAAAGGTGTTTTAAAAATCACTATAGTAAGGTTACAGATATGACTTGATCAACAAAGATATCTTAGATTTCTTCTAGCACATTAAAACTTTGACATAAGATAATGAGGAAGAATAAAGGCAAGGCAAATCTCTAACAAATGAAATACTCAAGAAAGTCATAAAAAATCAAACTATTTAAAATAAAGATGGAAAGTAATTGAAGGTATAAATTGTGAACTTTGATGACATGCTTGATCATCTTTTTATGGCATTCACTATTAGATGTCCTCCAATGAAAGTGTAGTTTGATCTGAGACAGATGCTATGCATTGATCCAGGACTCCCAGATATCATATTGATTAAAAAACTAGAAAAAATAATTGATGATTTGGATTTAAATCAAGCTAATCTTTTAAGAATTATGAAATCTCCTGATTATAAGGCGTACATAACCACTTTGATTCCTAAATCAACTTCTTCAATTAATAGGTAAGCCACTCATAGTAAGCAAGCTTTATAGCAACCAAAACCTTAGTAGTAAGACAATGAATCTGCTTCTAAGAAGAAACCTGCCCCTAAAAAAGGTGTTTCTTTTTCTAATGATAATTCTAATGTCGACACTAAGGAAAAAGTCTAGAAGAAAGAAGATTCAGATTTCAAGTATGACCCATATCGCAAGAAATTCACTGTAAAACCAGAAGAAATTTCTGATGAAGATATTGATAACTATCAAGAGGATGATGACAAAATAAGTTCAGAATAATTCCCAAGTTCAGCTTCCAGTAGTTTTAAAGATAAAAAACAAAAGAATTAAAAAGAACAAGAAGTTAAGAAGCAAGAGCCTCCAAAGTAAGTAAAAAAGGAGGATAAAAAGGAGAATGATGAAAAAATAAAAAATAAAGACAAGAAGGAGAAAATCTCAGAAAAACCCAAAGAAAAGCAGTAACTTAAAAGTGATGATATAGAGGACGATGATATTAAAGAGGAAAAAATGAATTTTGTTTACGATCCATACCGAAAGAAATACACTTAAAAGCCAGAGGAAATTTCTGAGGAAGAAGATTTCATTGAGGATAACTATGACTTTGACTGAGTTTAATCAGATATGTGATGCCTTTAAATGCAAAGTTATTTTGTTAACAAATGATAAATTACTCTTTTATAGCATCTAAACTACCTTCAATTTTTGCAGTAAAATAATCGATGGGGTTTTGGGGTTTTGGGGTTTTGGGG